CACAAATCCTGGCATCCACACTGGGGCTGGGAAAGTGTTGGCATTGCAGCCCCATCCCTGCACAACACCGAGTGCTTTCAGGTTCCATGGTGCCTCTCCAAGCCAGCAATGCTCCTGTGGTTCCTTCCCTGTGTGCAGCTTTTATTTTGAAAGTGCTTCCTGACACTTGAGCTTGTCTCCTGCCAGTCTGGCAGATACCACTTGGATTTACTCTCATTTTCAGGGACTGCTCTGTCTCCACTTCTGCCATTAGTGTCAGTGCAGTGGTAAAATGCTGTTCCTCCAAGTTGTCTCCATTTTCCTGTAAGGGCAGTTCATGCATCATTTGCTATAAAGGTTCTGATAGCTCAGCAAATGTTCGAAGACAAATTGATGCTCTTTTGTGGCAAAAGGCCCAGTGCATAATTTTACATTTACTTGGGATAATGTGGCCTTGGATAACCGAGTCCCAGATTTACTGGTGCAGGATAGAGTGTCTAAGGGTTTATCCAGCCTCAACCCCTCCTTTTTAAATAGTCATTTAATCCTGACAAGCAGGCAGAGGAATATCTTTGGTTGTGACCAGGCTTTCACTGCCAGCCAGTCCCTGGGTCCTAAACTGACTCATCAGTCAGAAAGATTAATAACTGCTCTGCTGGATGATTTCACTTGTCATGGCACATATCCATTATTGGAAAACAAATATTCTCTGGGAAATGAAATGCAGATTGTGGTATAGTGGCCAGCCAAGTCCTTTTGGCCAGATGCAAATTTAAAGCACGTATTAAGTGTCCCTTCAAAGCAAGGACTTCAGGTTGCTTGCTGATTGGCAGTCCAATATCCATTTTTCCTTTTTTTTTTTTTTTTATATTTCCTTTCAATGGGGTCGGTTCCCCCTACATCTGGAGCTGCAGTGTGGATTTTTTGCTGATAAGAGTTGCTGGGAAGATGTTTTCAGCTGAGTTGGTCTTTCCAGCTTTAATGCCTTTTAGCATGTGCAGGAGGGTTGAGGGTGTGAAGAAAGAAGTGCAGGCAAGGAGGGCAAAGGAAAGCTTTGCCTTACAGCAGCCTGACATGTTTAAAAAATAAAGAATATCCCTGAGGAGCTTTGGTATGCCAAATGTGTTAGTTAAATTAGCATTGAGTGCTCGTTCATGGCATGGCTTCAGTAGTGGGGGAACGCAGGGCTCTGAGCACAGCTTCCCTCTCAGAGGCCCCTTTCTGCTCAGGAACTCCAGCAGTGCTCACACCATCTGGAGAAGGCATGGGAAAGGGGGATTGGGCTTTTTCCCTTCCACCCCCACTCCTCTGGTAGAGATCCCAGAGTTCTCTTTGCACAAAGGGCTGAGTTTCTGCTCTTTAGTTTGGGGGAGCAGCACCTGTGAGCTCCCCCCATCCCAGGGCGCTCCATGGGCTTTGGGAGGGTTTCTAAAGGCTGGGAAAGCCAAGAGCAAGGGGTGGAGAATCTGTGGTGCAGCACTTGGCTTTAGCTGGTGTGCACCTCCTCATGTGTGGCTGACGTTTTTTGGCTGGGAAGGACCTTGTGTGGCTTGTTTGGCCAGGATAATCACTCAGCAGGGAGCACCTATGGGGAAAAGAGGGGAAAGAAAAGCCTACAAAGAGGTTTTTCCTACCAGACCCTGTTAGAAACAGCCACCAGTTGTGAAAGTTCTTTACTTTAGTCTCAGCATTCTTTGTTGTATTCTTTTTGATCAGAAGGAAGTTATTGTTTCAGTCAGGAGGAAGCATATAAATGTTCTTTAAGGAATTTCTGCATGGGGAGGAAAAGAGATACTGGTTTGAAAACCCAAGCCTTTGTTCTAGGTTAGGTGATACAGATCTATGTCTGCATTCCCAATATTGGGGCAGCAGCAAGCTACTTGGACTCTTTCCAGATATTTAAATAATTTCTAGTAAGTTGGCATTTGTCACCATTAAAACAAGGATTTATCAAAAAAAACCTTATGGATAAAATGGCATCCTTTTGCTTGATTCATGCAGGTGGGAAAATGTGGCTGAATATGGTGTTGCAATGGATTTATTTTTTTAAATTTGATTTTATTTAACAAAATTTGTTTGCATTTTTGGATTTTAGGCAGGATTTTTCAAATAAAAATAAATTGGGAGTTAAACCCTTACAACTTCTTTTTCCTCCAAGGAACATGACTAGAAATAGGTATAACTCACACTAACTCAACTTGTAACTACTTCAAGAGTGTCTGTAGCATCCACGTTTGTTGTACCTATATATGTGGATGGTATATGGAGGGGTTTAGGATTTATTCTAGGTCTACCTTGAACAGAAGCATTGCATGGAGATTAATTTTTAAAAAAAAATTAATCTCATGCATGTATAATAAATTCCACCCCCTTTCAAACCCACTCATGCACTTGGATTTCTAATGAATAAGGCTGCATATTTATTCATGAAGATTAAAAACTGTACAGATAGAGCAGCTGGCCGAACTTTTTTTTTTTATATTATTTTTGTTCTCTAAATCTGCTGACCTGTGATCAGTAGTAAAGAGGAAACCCTCTGATTAACTTAGGCTGTTTGCAGGCTGAGACAGACAAAATGCTCAGCTATTTACTGCTGAGGTACAGAATGTGGTTTCGTTGAGTGGGATGGAGAGAGGGGAGCAATAGAGACAAAAAAAAAAATCACCTCTTTATATTTTAAAAATGACTTGTTTTCAAGGTATGCCTTGCAGAGCTCTCAAACCGCCCTGGCTGGCCAGGTGTGACACCCTGTCTGTCCCTGCAGGCCCTGCTGCTGTTGGGTGGCATCGCTCTGTCCTGCCTGGCTCTGGACCTGCTCTTCCTCCTCTTCTACTCCTTCTGGCTGTGCTGCCGCCACCGCAAGAGCGAGGAGCACCTCAATGCTGACTGCTGCTGCACAGCCTGGTGTGTCATCATCGCCACCCTCGTGTGCAGGTACGAGGGGACCACCCCCCTCCTTTGCTGTGTCCTGTCTCTCATCCCCACGCTCCAAATGGCTCAGCCTCTGCTCGGTGGATGTTGGCAATAATCCCTCTTTCTGTCTGATGTGTGTGTGTGTGTTTTTAAATGTCTGTGATGTATTGCCTTCCTTTCTGCTGCTTGCAGAGCTGCCTGGTGGTTTGAGCAATGTGAAAAGGAATAGTTAATGTCCTGCTCTTTGATACTTTTCAAGTGATAAATCAAGGAGCCTCCGTCCTTGGGAGCTTATCGCTTAAACAGGATGGATACAGCTGAAATATTTATCGGGTCTAAACGCAGATTTCTCAGAATCTGGTGTCCAGAAAGGATCACTTTGTGTGGGAGAGTAGATTAGGAAGAAAGAGTCACAGATGATTCTTTTGGGTTTGGAAGGATTGGTGTTCGACTGGAGGGGATGTTCAGGTTTTGTTAGCTCAGTAAGACTGCTGCATTTTGTTATCTGCACTAGTGTACCTCTCCAAGGTCTGCTAGTGATGGTGCCAGGGTCAGCAGTGTTTCCTGGTATGGCTGAGCAATAGAAGCTTGTGGAGGCGAGGTAGAAAGAAGGATTGCTGAAAACCAAGAAAAAAAATCAGTAATAGTGGAGAATGGGTGCAGGAGAATTTAAAAGGAGATCATTTCCTAGAAAGTGAGTGATTGGGCATCTGAAAGCAGGGATATGTTTGCAAATGTGGAAGGAAGGATCCTCTGATCTTGTTTTGGCTTGGGCAGAATGAATCCTCTGGATGTATGCCCTGTATCGAGCACTTTCTAATTTGCATTTCTTTCCAATCCCGAGCATCATCTACTCTTGCCCAAGACTCCAGGTGGTCCCAGCTGCCCCTCTGTGGGTCTGGCACGTCTGGGAGCAGTGCCCTCGTCAGCAAGGAGGGAGCAATGAGCTGATTGTATCTGACAGTGCCCTGTGGTTCACTTTTGCTTTAGCCTGCTGGTAGGTGGTGGGTGTGCTGTGGGATCCCTCTGGAGGTGAGATGTTCCTTGAAGGCCAGGCTCAGCTGCTCAGGAGCCAGACTGTGCTGCTGATGTGTTTGTGCTTGCTCTTTCGAGGCACTCGCTTAAGAGAACAGCAAAGCCTTGGAGTGTTGGAACAAACAGGGCAGAGCAGACATTCTGTGGTGAGTTTAGCAGCTGGAGGTGGATTTGCCTGTAGAAGCAGGGGCTGAGGGCTGAGGAGCAGACCTTGTGTACCAGCCAGCATTGCTGTGTTTGCAAGGAGCTCTTCCACACTTTGCTGATTTGCAAATAGGTGCCTGGGCTGGGAAGGCAAGCCACAGGACAACTTGGAAAGCAGAAATCTCAGCCTCATCCACCTTTATTTTAGCGATCTTCAGCTGCATCCATTCCAATCCACGGAGAGGTCTGTGGTCCTAACCCTTTCTTACAGGAGCTCTGGCTGATGCTATTTATAGTTGTGCTGCTGCTACAGGCCCTTGTTAGCTATTGTTATGCAGCAAATGTGACCCAGGCAGCTGCTGCTGTGAGCTAGTTGTGTTTGTTTTTGATTGTAGAAAGGGTGAGAAAGAGGTATTCTGCACTTCTCCAGAGCATGTGTGAGATAATTTAAAATTGGAAGGGCAGCATATAAATTCTGGTAAACTTGATGTGACTGTGAAATCCACAAGCTGGGAAGCTGCTTAAAATCTGAACCACTGATTCTCATCCTTGGTGTACCATTTGTTTCTGCAGGTATTAAATGCAGAACCATAAAACTAAGCTTCATACCATAAGATTCTATCTGAACCTACCGTGACATTGGATGATCATTTTTCCTTGATTTTCTAAATTAGTTGTTTGATTTCCTCTCCCAAATCAGCGTGCTTGAGCAAGAGCAGGTTGGTACCATCGTGGTGAGGAAGGTGCTGTCCAAGTGCTGCTGCTCTCCTGCAGGGCTGGGGTTGCTTTTCTGCCTCTCTGCAGCAGCTGGATGCCACAGTGCCTTCAAAGCAGTGTCTCTTGGCACTCTGTGCTCCGTCTGGGCCTGGAAATGCAGATGCAGGTCCCAACAAGCCAACTCCAACTGTTGGTATCCACTTGGGACTTCTGCTAGCACTGATTCAAGATTAGCATACTGGATATATCCTGTCCTATCCCAGGTGTGTGTCACACCTAACAGAGGAGCCAGACCAGCTGTCCTAACAGGGTATAAGGCTGTTCTGACCCTCTGTCTGACAGCAGCCTGTCCTGGGAGGCAGTTTTGTGGCTCTGGGTGCTGAAGCAGCAAGGTCTGCTCTGTCTGAGTACTTGGAAGGGAGCTGTTGTGTTCCTAGCTGAGAACTGGTTAACTCTGGCTAGGTCCAGCTGTGCCTAGAACACGTTTCCCTAGGATCCCCCAGTCCCAGGGGCTCTTTGTGCTGGGAGTGCTGCTGTGTGCCCTGCATTGCTGTTTGCTAATGACTCACAACAGAGAGAATGCTGAGCCAGCAGAGGCATAACTGGTTAACAGGAGCTCTCCAACAAAATGTCACTAATGAGTCTTCCCAGTTGCTCTAGCCACAAAGCTGCAGGAATGCTTAGCCTAGATTTTTCCATTAATACTTCAGTTCTAGTCCTTACCAATTTTGATTGCTTTCTGTGTATGGAGAGTTGTCCTATAAACCATCTCACCCACTGGTTAGGTGACCCTAATTCTCCCAGAAGGGACCTCAGCACCAAAGGTGGGGAGAAAGCTTTGTGGAGAGGGCATCAGAAAGAAATGGGTGCAAATAAATGGTAAAAACTTGTTTTATCAAGTGCCAGTAATAGCACTTCCCCCTGGTGCGAAAGTGCAAGGTGGTAATTAGGCAGACAAATTAACATTCCTCCTGAGAACCTGAAGTCTAAAAAGGGCTCTTCTTATGAAGTTCCTGTAATTAAAGATGACTTGGTGTAGTTAGATTATTCATTTCTAAGGATGTGATGTGAATGGCTAGTGCTCATCTTTCCAGACTGATGTCTGGGTACCCAGAGGGTCTCAGTGTGTGTGTGGGTATTAGAGCAGGAGGATCTCATCACTAGAAAGCACATCTATCCTCTCTGTCTCAGATTAATGCTCTGATGTTCATCGTGTATAAATGCAGAAAACTTTCTTTTGGTTTTTTGCAGGTCACCTTGCAAGCACATTCAGAATTGCACTTGATTGGTATTTCTGGTTCTTTACCTAGGTGTCCAAAGCACATGTGATTCTTGCACACAGACAATGGGAAAGCTGCTCTCCAGACTTGAATTGCTTGAGTCTTGCTGCAAAGTGATACTGAAGGGTGTGTACAAATGCAGGAGTTTAGATCACACTGCTGTATCTGTAGGAAAAGACAGAAATCCTGGCGTGCACCTCTTCCATCTCACTTGTTCAACTCTTTGAGAGCTTGTGGACTTCTGTGTCCCTTGTGTGTGTCTGTGGGTGTGCACTGCTGGTGATAGCTTTAAGCTCAAAGTGCAGTGTTTTCTTGACTTAAATAACTTACCAAAGCTGTTGAGTAGCTAAGTGGCTTTTTAAGTGCAGTGTTGAATAGCAGGAGTAACCTTCTAGGTGGCCTGTAAGACTATTATGGATTGATTCTTAACGATTTTATTCAAAAATATCAGTGAGAGGGAAAGCAGAGGAGTGCTGGTGGTAGTGAAAGTGACAGGAGACTGACAAAGGTAGGTTTGAGAGGAGGAATTGAGGATGGGACAGTGTGGGTTTGGGAGGAGAGAGGGGTGTGTGCACTCGAAGGAAGTGCAACAGAAGCAAGAGTGGCAGAAATAGGCATGACTTTCCTATAGAAGCACTGAAAATGTGTTGGAGTATCTTCCAGAGGGTGCTGGGGTGGAAAAGAGCTGTGTCTTTCAGGAATGCTGTTCTTGTATCCGGGCTGTGTGACAGAAATACATCCATTGGGTGATGATTTTGTCATCCTGTACTGGGAGATGGATCTGCTGTATCTTAGGCTACTGTGCCTTCCGGGGTTCGTGCAAGAAGCCTTGTGATTTATCATGACCTCAAGGACTTATGCTCTTGGGTTAAGATGAGTTGATCTATTTTTATTTTAAAAGAATGCTCTTAAATAGAAGGAGCCCCCATGTTTCCCTTTAATCATATAAAAGGTAGTTAAAAACTAGTGCAAATCCTTAAATCTGCTTTAAACAATAGCAACTCATATCAGTGTGTGTGGGCAGGGATTTGAAACAACTGTTGGATTTAGATGTAGCCAAATGCTAACAAAGCTAAGCAGCAGCAGTTCCCCCCTGCCTGTCCTTCAGCTCTGCCCCCTCCTCAGGCTTGTGGGATGGGTTCCTTCCTTCTCTACCCTGATAGAAAGGGGAAGAGCCACAAAACTGCATGGCTTGCTCCTGGGGGAAGGACTGGCTGTGTAAGTGGCCCTTGCTAGCACAGGGAGGGAATGCAGAGCTGGCTTTTGCGTGGCAGGAATGGAATAATTAACACTTTCTGTGCAATTTGCAGTGAACGTGTGAGTCTCATGTCTAGAGGGAGTTTATTACTTGGATTAAATGGCTTTTATCCCGATTGTTGTGCTGTAGTGGTTTCTTTCAGGAGCAGTGACTGTGCCTGGAGGGTCAGGGCAGTGGGAGCTGTGGTTTGTACTGGGCAGGGTGGGAAGCCTCTGGAAAACTGCCAGGGTAGATCTGCCTCCAATAGGGCAACAGGGCAAGAGTTTAAAGTCCCTTGTTTGTATTGCCAGCACTTCCTGGCTGGTACCTGTGAGTGAACTGAGTGTTCTGTGCAGCATCCCCAAGGACAAGGTGTCTGCTCCTTCAGAGTGCTGTTTCTGAGTCTTTCCCACCAAAACTGTGCTGCTGTGCTGGGAATACTGAGAGCCAAGCAGCAGATTTTGGGCACTTACCAAGTCTTTGCTGAAAGAATAGGCTTCTAGTAGCTGTAAACAGGCTGAATAGAAATTGCTCGCTAATTAAAGGGGTCAGATCTGCCTATTCAATGTCAAGAATGTTCTGGAATTTATTTGGTGCCTATGGTAGAAACAACCGCTAATGCTTTCTGCAGCTCAGGAGGCTGAAAGGGTCTGTGTGAATTTCTTTGCTCTGATAAGACAAGGAGAAATTCAAGCCATGGTTTTGTAATTTCTGTGATGGGGTGCTGAGTTGCCTTATTCTGGGCATAGCTCTGCATCTGTAATCTCTCTGCTTCAGGGGGAGGGGGGAGTGTGTCTTTTTTATCCCTTCCACCCCCGTGCACCCCAGGCATGTGTTATCAAGCTCTGATAATAGCTGTAACCAGGGAGGAATGCAGAGGGCTTTTCTCTCTTCAGTTATCAGCATAATTTGCACGAGGAAAATGTTTGAGGAATGATGTTCCTGAAGAAAGAGGCCCATTTCTTTTATTAATGCTAAATATTTAGCTACAAACTGCTGCCTCTCTTTCTGTTTATGAAGGCTGCCTCTTGTCCCTAGAAGACTCCTCAGCTGAGGTTTTTATGGGCCAGGCTCTCTATAATTTATGGAGATTCAATTGCTGGAAAAAGCGTGAGGCTGACACAGATTTTCCTAGTGGATCTGCTTCCAGATCATGATCTTTGCTTCTATTTCTTGTCACGTATGAGGAGAAATGTGACCAGGTGAATGACATCGTTCTGTTCACTCTCTTGAAGCAGAGCCCAGGAAAGGAGGAATGGATGTGTTTTCCTGCAGGAGAGGAGCAAGAGCTGGAGCAGTACACAAAGCTGTTGTAAAGGAACTAAATGTTTCATCCAGAATAAGTTTAGATTTACAACAGGATCATCACCACCACCTTCCTTTGCAGCAACACAAACACAACCTTGGTGTCTTGAGAACCTTCCTAGAAAAAGTCCTGGGTGCTCTCAAGCTAAATATAATATGGGAACAGAAAAACTGTGTCTTGGGAAGGTTTGTTTGCCCTGAGTTTAGTTGTGTGATCCCTTCACAAATTCTTTCCTCCTCTATTATTAAGAAATATGGGCTTGGAAAGAGGAACTGAGTTCCTGCAGTGATCCCTTAATAGAAGAAGTATTGCTGACTTGCATGAGATAATCCTCTGGTTGCAACTCATTTACAGGATCTTCCTCCTTTAAGTGAGGCTTAAGCTAATATGGTTTACTTCATAATTGGGGCAGACTGATATGTGTGGACAATTATAGAAAATCAGCTGATAGGTGGTAATTTGCTAAGCAGCTGGAGTTGAATTGTGTCTGCAAGCTTGAAATTTGCTTGCTTTAAAAATAAATAAGCCTTTTGTCCCAGTAAGTTATTAAGCCTCCCTTCCCAGTACTCTAAATCAGTGTGACACAAATGTTTCTAATGGGAAGATAAATCAAGATAATGTTCATAGATATTTCACAGGGTAGAGAAGAGGGCATGGAAAATGTATCTGGAGGAACCACCACCATGGGCAAGCAGTCAAAGCAAGCTCTTTGTGTCCTGCTTTAAAAAAAAAAGTAACAAAATAATCAGTATTTCATGTCCAGAGAAGGCACGTGTCTCTAGCACAGCAATGGCAGCTCTCACAGGAGCCACTGCAAAGCTGCCTGGCTGGACTTCTGGTTGTCCAATTGTTGTTTAGGGTTTTAGTGGAAAATGTGGTTTTTTTGGTGGGTATTTGGGTAGAGAGGGTTTATAATTTGGTTGTATTTAGGAATGTGTATTTTTTAAAAGTTCATGGTATTTAAGAAAGTCTGTGAGGTTTTTTTGTTGATTTGTGGAGATATTGTGGTTATTTTGTTGATGATATTGTGATAATTTGATGTTGTTTGTTTTGTTCTTTTATTTTTAGGAATTGGATTTTTTGGGTAGGTTTTATGATTTTGGTTTTGGGTTTTTTTTGATGGCAAAATTAAGTTTCTAGGAGAATTTGGATGATTTTGGTCCAGCTCAGCTCAGGCTGGACCTGAGCTCCCAAACAGTTCTCTAAGAGATTTTCGTTATTTTACCATAAATGAAATTAGGTTTGCTGTGCTCTATTGGCCATGTGGATGTTTACAGGATGAACTGAGCAGCAGCGCGACCCCAGCTCTCTTCGGGAGGGACCACCTTTTCTTTTTGGGGATAAAGTGGCTACCCAGTGCCCTGCAGCCACCATCCCTGTGTTACACACCTTTTAGCTTTACCTCTTTTTGCTTTTTTCCTCTCTCTGCAGTGCTGGAATTGCCGTGGGATTCTACGGGAATGGGGAGACCAGTGACGGCATCCACCGGCTGACGTACTCGCTGCGCCACGCCAACCGCACCGTGGCCGGCGTCCAGGACAGGGTGAGCACCCAAAAACCGGGGCTGTGGCTGCTCCTCTCAGCACCTCTCCTCCTCAATCTGGCTGTGCCCGTGTCTCTTCCTGTTTTCTCTTCGGTTCTGGGCTTGGAGATTGTGCTAAAATTTCCATTAGTGGCGAGGTGATTTCTTCCGCTCTTCTAAAAATAACGAAGCGAGCACAGCTTGTTAAGTGAAGTTTTCTCTTTGCTGGGTTTAAAAACAGCTTGTGATCAGCTCTCTCTTCCCCACCCGGAAGAGGAGGCAGGCCAAAGCAGACTAATCTTGGTAAATTGTAACATTTTAATACCATTGGTTGTTCCTGTGCTCTGTAATTTCATGGGGTCATACTGCAACCCTGATGGCTGTAAAATGTGTGCACGTGTTAAGGCTCAGCTGAGGTGCCATCATTGGACTACTTGCAAACAGTCTCCCTTACAGATGTTTGTAAGTTGCTTTTGAAGGGTAAGCAGTCTGAGCCTCTTAAGGCAGAGGACTGGCAATCTGGAAGCTGTCCATGACTTGCTAGTAAGAATGAATTCCCTTTTACTTCCTTGGCTTCCTGTACTTTATTTTTTTTTTTAAATTTGTTTATCCTCCTTTTTCTTTCCCATGCTATAGGTACTGGACACTGCAGTGGCCCTGAACCAAACAGTGGAACCAAACTTGCTCGTCCTGGAGGAGATGCTAAAGAAGCAGACTGACTACCTGCATATTGTCCAGAAACTGCAAAGTCTCTTGGATGATCTGGTCAGGCAAACAACTGAGATCCCCTTTTGGAAGAATGATGAGCTGTCTCTGGAGGAGCTGGCAATTCAGATTGACCTCTATGACTGGTACAGGTGTGTAGCATGCTGTAGTGTAGTGGTTGTAGCATCTGCTTTGGCTTGTTTTGCAAAAATTATGTGCATGTTCTGGGTGGCTGAGCCAAAGGCTCTGTCTATTGCTGCAGGTGCTCTTGGCCCACAGAGCTGATTTGTTTCTTACAGCAGGACTGCATTCAGTTTAAATCAAAATGCACTGCTTTTTTTCCTTAAGTGTCTTTATTACCAACTGATGAGAAATTTATTCTCAACATACCAAATCTGTAGTTTGTGTTCTAGCACAGGGGAAAACAGCAGCCCCAGATACAGCCTCTGCTCTGTCCTAATAAGTGCATAAAGAACACATTAAATAAAGTAGAAAATGGCACTGGTTCTATAAGTTAATACCACAGCCTAACATTGCTTTTTATTAAATATATTAAAGATATTGCATCAGTTGTATTCCACAAAAGACAATCTCTATCCAAACATGTGGAAAAAATAACTGAAGCATTCCCTAACAAATATCTAGGAAGTTCAAGAAGCTGCAATGCCTTTTCTTCCTCTGATGACCAGTGTGTAAAACATCCCACTAGAAAACACTAGCAGTCTCATTTCTCAATAACTGTTTGTGGTAAGAGTGTTGTGTAAATGATTTTACCTGCCTCAACTTCCAATCCCACAAATACCCAGATCTGTCTGAAGATTTATCTTTGGAGGTGGTTTTGAAGAAGAACTGTGTTTTCTCCAGAACTCACAAATAGTTTATTGATCTGTGCTTTTTACACACCAGTTTTCCTTTGCAGACCATGCTTTTGTTTGCTGCAGGTGGCTGGGATACCTGGGCCTGCTCCTGTTTAATGTCCTGATATGTTTGCTGGTGCTCTTTGGGCTCATTAGAAACTCCAGGGCCATTCTTATGGGGTAAGTCTTTGTCTGGGGACAGGGCATAAGGAAAGTCAGCTGAATACAGGGGTCTGTTACCTCTACCTGTTTTCAACTGATACCAAGGACCTCTGAGACTGAACAGCTTAGATTTGCCTCTGAGTAGAGAGACATTACAGAGTGTAGCTCTGTGGAAACAGTTAGGGCTTCATACAAGAGATGTTCACAGGAAGGTTCTTGAGCTATAAAATGCAATGCTGCTGGTGTTCATTGCCTTCTCAGAGGTGAGGAGCTCATCCAGGCTGTCTGCTTTCCACTGGGTGGAATTGGAAGCCTCCATTTGCTGGGAGATAACAATGTGAACATCCTTCCTTAAAATTACAGGCTTTAAAAATCTCCCCTTAATTCTCTGCAGTGGGGAAGGCGTTTGTTAATTGATGATAAGCATTGCATGTACCTACACAACCTGCAGCATTGCCTTCTGTGTCACTGTCTGCTCCTGTTACCTGGGGCTGTCACACCTGAGGAAACCTTAAACTGAGAACAAGCAATGTTTTGCACAGTTGTGAGAAGGAGTCTTGTTGCCATGGTACTGCAATGTTAATGATGTCTGTTTCTCAAAAGCACTGAAAATGCCCCATTAGAGGAAAGAACTCTTCCTCTCCCTATCTTGTAGTTTGGCATATTTGGCCAAGATCCTGGTGTCATAAACACAGTGACAGTTTGATGACTGACATGGCCAAGGGTCTATCTTGGATCGTGTTGGTGCCATTAATAATTGGAATGTGTATCCAGATTTATTATTTACCAGATGATTTCATACCTGGCAGGTTATACAGACAAAAGTCCAAGTGTATGCACAGATGGCAAACCCAGGGTTTAAATTAGAATCTCATTCCCTGATAGCCAGAAGTTCATATTGAGGCA